CAAGAGAGGCAGTGGGCTCAGTATCAGTGGAACCTATTCCTTCCCGCCATTCTGCACAAAGCACCAGCTGTGATGCAGAATGGAAGCTCCGAGTTCCTGCTTTCAATCTCTTTTGGAACACCTAAATGCAAAAGAGGGAAATAAAATGACAACAAAGGTGACCTTCCCTGGATGAGAAGTGCTAAATAGTTCTTCCGCCAGGCAGAGAACAGGACTCTAGAGTTTATTTCTGGATTTGGCAGTCTTTCTAAGCTGTACAAGGAATGTCTCAAAATGAAGCCTCCTAGGACCATCCACATTGGGTGTTTCCTATCTAGGTCTCCTCTGAGGTTCAGGTAGGTATAAACGGTTGCCTGGTTGTGGAAGTCATGTCATGATTCAATTGGTGTGACTCAATGATCTTCATGTACACGGAGCACACTACCAACTCTTTGTCAGGACAAACCAGAAAGTTATTTTGTGGTCCTGCATGAATTCAAGTCCCGCTTGTTCAGTGATCCTCTGTGGTAGTGGTTCTCAACCTTCCTAATGTTGAGAGCCTTTAATGCAGTTGCTCATTTTCTGGTGACCCCTAACCATGAAATTATTTTGTTGCTATTTCATAACTAATTTTCCTACTGTTATGAATTGTAATGTAAATATCTGATAAGCAACCCCAAAGGGGTTGCGACCCACAAGTTGGGAACCGTTGTTCTATGGCCAGGTGTGTTCCACAGGCTCATTCATCCATTAAAGATTTACTGGACACTTACAACTCAGGACAATTATTAGAAAGAACAGTGAACCCTGAGGAAACAAGACGGAAATGGTCCCTATCCTTCGGGCAGTTACACTTTAGTGGGAAAGGAGACATGTGACAAAGAACTAAATGTGTAATGACAACTTGAGTTCAAGTGTGAAGGGAAAAATACAGTACAAGGACAGAAATAGTGTTAACCAGGGTAAACTGGGCAAGCCTCTTGTAATCAGTAGCCTTCTGAAGAAGCAAAGAGTGGGCAGGGATTAGCCATGCTAAGTAAAGGAAGCAGAGATTGCAGAGGTCTTGATGGGTTTGGAATCTTAAGGAGGCCACGGTAGTTTCAGAAAGAAGTTGGTTGGAGAGAGGAAAAGAATGCATTTGAAAGTTAGAGCTGAGCTGGATCACTTAATTAAGGCCAAATGTGGGTCCAGGTGTAACAAACAGCAAAGCACCGAAGATCGTACGCAATCGGGATGGGTGAGATGGCCAGTGAACTGGTGAGTGGAGAGTGAGTGGGAAGAGGCCTATCAGTGGAAGAGGAAGTGATCAACATCTCTAAACTTGCTGAAGACCTGGCGTTTTAAAATCATCTGTTGCCTTCCACTTCTAGGGATGTAGCCTAGGGAAAAACTGGACAAATACAAAAAGTGTGTGCACCAAACATTGGGCCCAGCTTTTAAAGTAGAAAACAGATTCTAGATAAACCTACCTGTCCATCAGCAGGGAATAGCTACATAAACTTTTTGCTAATGTGTATATTTAAATACCCTATTTGCACCTTTAAAATACAAAGACTGGAGAAATAGCTGGGCACAGTGGTGTATACTTTTAATTTCAGCACTCAAGAGGCAAAGAGGCAGGAGGATGTTCATAAGTTCCAGGTTAGCCTGGTCTACCTAGGGAGTTCCGGGACATAGATTCTGTCCCAAAAGACGAAAACAAGGTATAGTCTTGTCTTTGCAAGTCTGAGTTGTCAGCATGTGGGAGGCCAAGGTGGGCATGTTGCTTTAAGTTTGAGGACAGCCTGGGCTACACAAGGATACCAGCCCTTATAGCTGTTTTAAAGCAGCAACAAAAATGCTGATGAGTGAGGTGTTCTGTAAAAGAAACGTTTCCTTGTTTTTAGGGAGGGTATTATAAGAATGGGAAAAGAGCCAGGCATGGTGGCATATGCCTTTAATCCTTGCACTTGGGAGGCAGAAGCAGTTGAGAGTCTACTCCACATAGCAAATTCCAGACCAGCCTACCTAAAAGGGGGGGTGAGGTGTGATAAAGCTGGAAGTCTTTTAAGCAAGAACAGGTAACCTCGGGTACCCTGAAGAGCGCCGTGATAATGAAACCCAATGTAGAGGAGCAGACTGATTACAGAGGAACAGAAGTGAGGGAGCTGTCAGTGGGCAGATGAAAAACCATGGTGCTTGTACTAGTAAGGGGGCAGAAATATACAGATTTTGTGTATAATTAGAAAGCAGAATTCACAGGATTTAATATTTATGTAATACAGTATTTTAGGCCATGTTTCATGTTTTGAAGATACAGCAGTGGGGGAAAAAGCAGATAACACCTTATATTGGGGTTGGTGTTGCAAAGCTCAATTGTAGGATGTTTGCCTAGTGTGTGCCAGACTCCATATTTGATTCTTCAATACCAAAAATTAATTATGTTCTCTGCACAGTTAAATAGTATGGTGGCTAGTGGATTCTGTAGCTCCTTTATGCCCGCCTCACAAAAACTATCAGGAGCTTTGAGACCTGGTTACTAAAAGGCAGCCATTATTAAACTGTAGCCAGGCACCACGACTCCCTACATAGACCAAGCTGGCCTTGAACTCACAAAGATCCTCTTGCCTCTACCTCTTTAGTTCTGGAATTAATGGTGTGCATCACCATGCCCAGCTGTTTCTCCAGGCATTTGGTTTGTTTTGTTTTAAGGGTGCATATAGAGTTTTTAAGAATATATATTAGCAGAAGTTTATGTAACGTTTCTGTGCTACTAGACAAGTTTCTCCGGGATCTGTGATCGTAAACCTTCGAACTGCTGCGTGTGCTGGCTCACACCTTCAGTCCCAGCACTTGGCAGGGGCAGGCAGATCTCTGAGTTCCAGGCCAGCCTGGTCTAGAGAGTGAGTTTAAGGACAGCCAGGGCTACACAGAGAAACCCTGTCTTGAAAAACCATTAAAACAAAACAAGTCTTTGAACTTAGTACTCAGGAGGCTGTAGTGGGAGGATCATGAGTGTGAGGCCAGCATGAGCTACATGGTATCTCCAAGAAAAAAATATGCTGAACTATGACTTTAAAATTATATATTTAAAAAAATGCTGAAGAATACTCAAAAGCATCACTTGCTGCTCGTTGTACCATTGTACTATTACTAGTGCCCTGGGTTTCTTTACATCTGGGGGGCGGGTAGGAAGACCACATAGAACTCCATTACAGCATGTCTCTCTTCCATTGCATATTTCAAACGTTTGGTAGCTTGATCCACTGGATAGAATTTATATCACAGGAGTCAGCAAATGTTACAATCAAGGCTTTCTCCCCCTAGAGAATAACTTAAATATTTACTGCCATGGTCCTTCATAAACTTAGGAATACACCTTGGAGTCAGGAAGCCATAGTTTAAGTCAGGGCCCCATCAGTTGCTAACAATGTGATTTGGCTAATATATCTAATATTGGTTTCCTCAGTCATAATATAAGAAACAGTTCTGTCTCAGCCATTTGTACAGCTAACATAAAACACCCGAGGAGGATGATTTTAAAAGAAATGTATTTCTCACAGGTCTGGAGGCAGGAAAATTCAAGATTAAGGTGCTGATAGATTTGGTGCCTCATGAGGAGGGACTGTTCTTCACAAGGCAGGAGAGAGAGAACTTTTTTTTTTTTTTTGGTTTTTTGAGACAAGGTTTCTCTGTATTGTTTTGGAGGCTGTCCTGGAACTCACTCTGTAGACATGGCTGGCCTCGAACTCACAGAGATCTGCCTGCCTCTGCCTCCTGAGTGCTGGGATTAAAGGTGTGCGCCACCACTGCCTGGCGAGGGAACCTTTTTATATGCTGTTTTTATAAATGCATTGTCCTAAAACCTTCCCCATAGGTCCCACTCCCACCTCTGACTCATTGGGGAGTAAACTTTCAGTACATGGATTTGCACACCACAGGAACAAAATAAAACAAATGAAATTTCAATAAGTGCTTAGTACAACAGCAGATATAGGTACCTAGCAGATGTGAATAAATTCTTTTCTACTCATAGGGAGATGGGAGTGGGTTATTTAGTGCCAGAAGAGATATCTCAGAAGACCAGAGTGTGTTTCCCAGCACCCATATCCAGAGGATAACAACCGCCTGTAACTACAGTTCCAGGGGTCCAACGCCCATCTCTGTCTGATTTCCTCAGACACCTGCTTGCACACAGGGCAAAGACAAGTAGGCACACACATATAAATCAAAAACAAAAAGGAATGGACTATCCAGAAGATCCATTATAAAGCAAAAGAAAATGTTTTTGTTGGAGGGATCTATTGGGAGCAGTGAGCTCTTTTTAGGTCCCTGAAGCTTTATTCCTAAGCTTTCTAACCCCAGGAGTGGGAGAATCTGGTCTCTGCTGGGATACACAATGAAAGCACCAGGCCTGGCACACCCAGCACTCAGTCATCCCTTTTGGGATGACTGAAGTCAGATTAGTTTTAGGGCAGGTTGAATGAAGCTATCCCAAGGGATAATGAAGCCAATGTTCAGCTTAAACATAGAGCCTTGCAATGCCAAAGGATGTCCTAGCCATTAAGGCTTTTGCTGGCCTATGTTCAGTCTTTCCTGGAGGAAGTCAAAAAGCTGTTGGTTGGGAGAATTGAAAAGACTACACCAAAAGGGAAATGATTGTATTTTTCAGAACTTGAATTTCCCCAGAAATCAAGCTGGAGACTGAGGTCTCTATACCCCCTCTGAATACTGGAGGGTTACCGAGGACAGGAACGGGGCATAGAAGAGGATGTGCATGCTCCTAACCCCAGGTAGCTAGGGATTAGGAGGAGTGTTAGGGCAAGATTGGAAAGCCAGTCAGCAAGAGGGAAATCTTCCCAGCCTGTGACCTGTGGTTGAAGGTATGAGTGCACTGGTGCCTGTGGCCTCCAGGGGGCGTGTGTGCATAACTATGAACAAACATCTTGGTCCAGGCAGGAGGAAGGCTGGATGGACTGAGGACAAGCAGAGGTGGCCTCTTCTGATGAGAGGAATAAAAGCAAGGTCAGTGCTGTGCTGAGTGCTTGAGGAGAGTTAACTTATGACTTATGACCAGTGACCACCACCAGAGTTGCCACATATTCACAGCCCAGTGTTTGCAAGTGGATGTAATGCTCTACCTCACAGCTTTTGTCTAGAAGTTGGGCTTCATCTGTGTTACCTGCTTGTGAAACACTGGGGGGGGGGATCTAGTCGGTCCCTGGAGATTCTGACATTGCTTTTAAGCCACCAGATGAATGCATGGTAGATGAGTTAGAAGACAACAATATTAAAGGGCCATAAGTAATTTTTGGAGGCAGGTGATGGATGGATCCAGGGGTGGTATAAAGGGGCCCAGAACTATATGTGAAGAGGCAGCGCTGTAAAATGAGCACCTGATATTTGTGCTGTTTCTCTTTAGAGGACTATGCTAGACAGACACTGGCCTACAAGTTAGAAATGGATCTCCAGAAAGGCTATATAAGGTATCAGAGGCTGTGAGGAAGAGAGAGAGAGAGTCTGGGGTATCAGCTACCAGTGCAGATCCAGCCAGAGATGCCTTGTGATGGGAGACAGTGGGTGTCAGGCCTCAGCTGTAGGAGCTGTGTCCTTTTTCCTTTGGGAATCTAGCTTTGCCCACTGACCCGTGAGGAAGGAGTGACACTAACAGCACATGTTCATTGTTAGTCAGAAGAGGACATTGTATGTGATGGCAGAAACCTGGTCTCATGCCCCTGAGTTCCCAGAACTCTGATGTTCTAGTTGGAGGAAGTTATGCAGAACAGAAACAGAAAAGAGATTCTAGGGCAGGAGGAGCAGCTGAGTAGCAGGGCTCGAGCTCAGCATGAGCATGGCCTGCAGTCTTAGCACTTAATAAAGGAGAGGGCTTCTGCCAAGGTTGGGTAAAGGGACATAAGGACCATAAGACCACCCAAGAGTGATCACTAAGGAAGAGATGTCTGGAGACTCAGGCTACAGCACAGCTGTTGCTACCTACAATTCTCTACTGAGCTGGCAGCAAGTCTTGGGAGTAACTGAAGCAGACTTTGGAGGTCCCAGGGAGTGGTGAGAATAGCAGGGACTGGGAATGATAGGTGATACCTCAAGAAGGAGGATGTGGGACCAAAACCTTGGGGAGAGAAGTAGGACCGCAGAGAAGGGGCAGTGACAAGCAAATGTGACCCCTAGAGTTCCGTATGTACCTATCATAAATATACCCCACTAATAATGTCCGCGTGCTTCAGAAGAGGAAAAATTCTCAGAAATGTAATGATGAGAGGAAAAGCAGGTCAGCAAAGTGACAACAAGAACAGGGCTCAGGATGGCAGAGCGCTTGCCTGGTGCGTGGGAAAACCCAGGATTGCTTAAGAAACAAAACTAACAAAAAGCGATCAATAAGTAGCTGGAAAATACTTCCAAATTTTGGTAGGTGACATAAAGGAAATGAGAGACTGAGAGGTCAGAAAAGCTGGTCAAGAAAGCATGCATGGAGAAGGTAAATTTAAGTCAAAACCAGTTGTAACGAATGTGCAATCCTAGTTACAGTTCAGTATGTTCTGTGACAGGTAAATAAGTGTTTCCCTCCAAAGTTGGAATTACCAAGAGAGACTACAGGGAAATGACACCCCTTTGGGCCCTCATACTGTCAGGCCTTCCCTCAGAAGCTTTTGAAACTTTTTTTTTCCTGGTAGGTGTTGAGTTGGGGACAGGGTTTGGCAATAATGAGACAATTATTTGGCAATAGTGAGATAATATCTCCAAACCAGCTGAAAGGTTTGGGGTACCCCTAGAAGAGGCCCCCCTGACTAATGCTTGGGAAAGGTTCTTTTGAATATTTCTGAGGAAACTCATTTGTGTGTGCAGGGTTATAAGCAGTGGTCTGCTTAATTGTCGTAGGCTTCGATTGAATTGGACTTGATACTCAGTACACAGAAAAGGTTCATTCCCCCTCTTCTTCCCTCTCCTATTGTAGAGATAAACTCAGCCTCAGAAAGGTAACCGTCCACCCTATTCTGATTTATGAGCACCTACACCTGCAGATTCCAGAGCGTCCCAATGGATATGGGCTAGTCAGAGCTGGAAATTTGCTGAAGGGGGTGGGGGCTACTGCCGGGAAGAGAGAGTCTTGGATTTGGGTTTCTTTTTAGACTTTGACCTTATTTGCTGTGATGCCATCTGCAAATATAACATCGATATTTCTCAATAGGGTTGGAAATGGGGGTGGTGCTGTTACAATAGGGTTGGAAATGGGGGTGGTGCTGTTACCGATTCTGTATAAGTTCAGCCTCATGCCCAGCACTGTCCTGTGGCCTTTCCAGCTCAGCATGGCTAGGGCAGTGGTAGCACCGGTAACCCTGGTGTTGCTGGGCCTGTGCTGGTCCCTGACTGTTGCCAACCCTCTTCGTTCGTGAGTAAAGCTGGACTTAGGAAAAGAGGGTTGTGATCGGGGCTTGAGTGTGATGGGGCCAGTTTCCAGACCTAGGTCATGAGCTAAGGAAGAGGAATAGGACCCATTGGACCCAGATATCTATTTGTGTTTTCTCTAGTGCCCATGGGAATGTTGCTGAAGGTGAAAGTGGGACCAAGCCAGACTCAGATGTAATCGGTGAGGCCCCAATCCCCTGAGTCTTTGTCTTCTCTGTCTCTGCATTTTATCATCTTACTGATATTTTTCCAACCCAGAGCGCTGCTCGGATGGCTGGAGCTTTGATGCTACCACCCTGGATCACAATGGGACCATGCTGTTCTTTAAAGGTAGGAGAAAGATATGCATACTGATATATGCTAGTAATATATGTATTTCCTAGCACTAGGAAATCTAAGGCAGGTGAATAATAAGTTCAAGACCAGCCCAGGCTACATGGATGACTCTGTCTGAAAAGCAAACAAATGAAAGACACAAATGTTAGAATATTTGGACCTCCAAGCATGGACCCTTCAAAGGGTGTCTTCATCTGTGAGGGCTCAGGGATTTTCTGAGGGTATAAATCACTATCTCAGTCAGTCAAATGCTTGTTCTGGATAACCTCAGAGAGTGTTGATTTTTCAGGGGAGTTCGTGTGGAAGGGGCACGCAGGGGTCCGAGAAACAATCTCAGAGAGATGGAAGAATTCCACCAGCTCAGTGGATGCTGCATTCCGTCGTGGTCCCGACAGTGTCTTCCTGATCAAGGTACTGCTGGGGCAAGGGAAGAGCTGGCCTGGAAAGGGCTGGAACCAACATTAGAGTCCCTCCTCCCGCAAGTGTCCTTGGCATGGATCCTAACTTGGTCCATTTTCTGCTGCTGTAACAGATATCTGATGATAGATAATTTTAATGAATAGTATTTTACTTGGCTCATGGGTCTGGAGTTTGGGAAGCCCAAGGGCATAGTGCTGGTATCTGGCAAGGGAACTCATGCAGCATCACAGCCTATGGAAAGATGGTACCAAGGTAAAAGAAAGAAGGCACAAGGGAGAGGCGCCCCTCCCCCTCCCTCTTCCTCTTCCTCTCCCCTCCCTCTCATCCTCTCTCCCCTCCCCTCCCTCTTCCTCTTCCCTCCCTCCCCTCCCCCTCCCCTCCCTCCCCCTCTGTCTGTCTGTCTGTCTGTCTCTATCTGTCTCTCTCTCTCTCTCTCTCTCTCTCTCTCTCTCTCTCTCTCAGAGGTCACACACAGTCTTCTGAGTATTCAATACATATTAGGATCCTCTATGTTGCTGTCCTCTTTCCACCTAGGTAAATTCTCACTCATTTTTCAACTCTTCGGTCGTATGCTTTCTTTCCAGGTTTTCTGGGACTTTTCCGGACATAATTAGACATTCTCCCTATTTTACCCATTGCTTTTTGCATGCTTTTCACCTTGGTGGCTGAATGGCTGGCATGCAGCAGTTGCTTTTAGGGATTCTTGTTATCTCTGGATTCTCAGTGCTTCTCATAATGTCCATCCTGTAATAGTCATTCAGTGTATGTTTCTTGATTGAATCTGTAAGTAAATGGGCAAATGGATGTATGAATGGGTGAGTGATTAGAAGATACCTACTTGTGAATGTGCTTACCAAAACTAAGAATGCTGCAATTAAGTGTACCACAGGAGCGTCTGGTTATACGTATCCAGATGTGAATGCATTGTAATATGGTGACTGTATTGGCTGAGAGTATGTATTGTACAAGGGGCAACATGGTGTACTCCACTAGTGGACTGAAAATTCACGAAGCTGTAAGGAGATGCTGAGTAAGTGCAGCAGAGCAAAACTGCATGTGCGAGCCACGTACCTAGAGGTGAACAGTTCCCAAGAACGTGCTTCTGAATGCAGGGAGACAAAGTCTGGGTATACCCTCCTGAAAAGAAGGAAAACGGATATCCAAAGCTGCTCCAAGAAGAATTTCCTGGAATCCCATACCCACTGGACGCAGCTGTGGAGTGCCACCATGGAGAATGCCAGAGTGAAGGCATACTCTTCTTCCAAGGTGTGTCCACAGGGGAATCCGAGAACACAGCTGGGTTCATGGTTCTCAGGCTGCTCCTGGTGATGGGGGAAGAGCCACTGTTGGCTTTATAAGGAAAGCGAATGCATGGAAAAGCCCGTTACAGGCTAGAGATCAAGTGGAAGTCATTCTAATGAAGGCGACTGGGCTAACGTTTCTCTTTCATGCTCCTTGGTCATCTCACCATGACCAAACCCCTATTGACCTTTCCACTTTCGCTGCTAATACCCCCTGACCTTGTCTCCAGAAACTCCACGCTATTCCCTGTATACCACATTTGCCTTCAGCTTCCTTTCTTGTCTGCCTTATAACTCCTGCCTGGGGTTTCGGTTTGTTTCCTCTTTGTCCGACTTCTCCCAGCCCTTCCTATTACTGGGTTGATCATGTACACCTTGCTGCTGGCTTTTGATGTATGGTCACTCTCTTCAGCTGCCTCCCTGCGGTGCTTGTTTGCTCCACCTATTCTGGGCCCCAGTGCAAGTCCAAGGTGTGCAAAACCCAGCCTCACTGACTGCCTTTTGATTTCTTGGTCATAGGTAACCGCAAGTGGTTCTGGGACTTTGCTACAAGAACCAAAAAGGAACGTTCCTGGCCAGCCGTTGGGAATTGCACCGCAGCCTTGAGGTGGCTTGAACGCTACTACTGCTTCCAGGGTAACCAGTTCCTGCGCTTCAACCCAGTCACAGGAGAGGTGCCTCCCAGATACCCTCTGGATGCCCGTGACTACTTCATGGCCTGCCCTGGCAGAGGTGAGAAAGCCCCAGCCTCTGGGGTCTACTGGGATTTACCTACGCTGGCTGAGTTTGCTCGTATGCTAACCTCTCACCTTAACTCTGTACTCTAACATCTTACAGTGGTTCCCCCCATTATCCTCAAACAGGGGAAACCCACATTCCCACTAGTCCTGGCTGTCTCTTCATCAGCAGAACATACTCTAACTCCCTCTCCCTGTGTTCCCATCACCTGTTTCTCTTCCAGGTCACGGTAGACACAGAAATGCAACTGGTCACGGGAATAGCACCCATCCTATGCATTCACGCTGCAGCCCAGATCCCGGCTTGACTGCATTAATGTCTGACCACCGTGGTGCCACCTATGCCTTCAGTGGTGAGAGACTGCCCCAAACTCCCCGTCTCTACCCTCCTGTCTCTTGCTTACACCCCTCCTCTCTGACAGAGCCCCTCCACTTTCATCACCAGGTCCTGTATTTTGTCCCTTTGTCCCTCACCTCCATTTAGCACACCATCCCCTCAGATGCATATTTTCAGCCTTGTCGTTCACTGTCCAGGCCTTTCTTCTACATGTTGGACTGTCTGATTCTGTACTGTTTATGTGCTCTGTGGGATACCTCTATTCCCAGTCATTTCTCGAGTGTCCCTTGGCCTGCTGAGTCCTCCGACTGTCCCTTGGCCTGCTGAGTCCTCTGACTGTCCCTTGGCCTGCTGAGTCCTCTGACTATCCCTTGGCCTGCTGAGTCCGCCGACTGTCCCTTGCTCTCTGGACCTCTCTGTGTACCCACACCTGCCTGTCTCCCTGGTTCTTGTGTGTCTCTCTGAGACTCCTTGCTCTCTGGCTCTCCCTGTGTCTCTGTGCCTCCTTGTGTCATTTGCTCTGGAACATGCCTTTCTGAGTACTCCGGCTCCCCTTAATTTATTTCAGGAACCCCATCTTTCCAAGGTGTTTAATTCTTACTTCCTGGACTCTGGACTCAGCATCACTTAGGGATGAGAAGTTCCCACTGCTAACAAACAGACCCTTGAGCACTCCAGACCCTTAGAATATAGCTTCAAGGAGATTTTTTTTTGCTTTAAATATTCAATGAAGTTATCCTTCCCTTGATCTGTGTCATCAGTTGGTAAAAGCCATCTCATGATATTTTGGAACATACAACTCCTAAGGCAGGTAGTAACAGGGCACACTCTACACTGAAGACATCTCCAAAATGGGAGGGAACAACCAAAGTACATTCAAGCTGAGATATATGTAGCAAAAATGACATAAATGGCAAGAGCATAGAAAAGTAAAAATACCTTTTAATTCCTAACTTCTGAGCAAATGATATGTTGTGATTAACAAGTTCTATTGAGAAATATATAGCTACATGGAATGTGTATCCTCTAGCATGAATGCACACCTTAGTGAAAAAAAACATATAACTTCAATGAAACATACATGTTGTGACAATACAGAACTGAGCTGAGAACACATGTCATAGTAATAACATGTGTCAGGAGAATATGCATCTATGGTGAGTGTGTGGGATCATTGGGGGAAACCACAAAGTAAGTGTGTGTGTGTGTGTGTGTGTGTGTGTGTGTGTGTGTGTGTGTGTGTGTGTGTGTTGGGAGCAAAGATTGATTGGAACATCCTAGGTTTGGGGTACAAAACAGGACCAAATGAATGTGTCATGTGAACAATTAAATGTGAGCCTAAAGTTCAAAGGAGATGTCAGTCTGAATGGAAAAGAGTTTATGGGTGTCCTAGCACACAGATGATATTTATGAGACCATCAAGGGAGGTAAAGGTATTTAGAGAAGAAAAGAGTACAAAATAGCGACTCTAATCTCTTAGATAGAAGATCAAAAAGGATAGTCAAAAAATAAGTAGCGTGCTGCATGAATCTGGGACTGTAGGAGCTAAGATTTTCTTTTTTGGAATGTTTAATGAAGAAGGAATGCTTAGGGATATAGCTCAGTTGGTAGAGTTGTTTGCTCTGCATGCACAAAGTTCTGGACTGGATCCCTAGAACCATATAAACTGGGCATGGCAAGCGGAAGCAGAGGATCAGAAGTTCACAAATGCCACCCACAGCTCCATAGGAAAAGGGGGTGGTGAACAGTCAAATGACGCTGAAAGCCAAAAGGTAGAAATTAACCAGTATATTTGGAGGACAGTGCTGACTTTGATAGGAGCAATTTCAATGGAGGATAGAAACACAAGCATAGTTAGAGTGCAGTGAGGGAAAGGGAAATAAGAGTAAATTCCTTTAGTAAGTTACTATGAGAATAAAAGAGATTGGAGAGGGGCTGGAGAGATTGCTCAGTGGCTAAGAATACTAGCTGACTTTCCAGAGGTCCTGAGTTCAATTCCCAGTAATTACATGATGGCTCACAACCATCTGTAATGAGATCTGGTACCTTCTTCTGGCCTGCAGGGATACATGAAGACAACACTGTATACATAATAAAAGAGGTTGGAGAGATTGCTAAGTAAGTGAGCTTGCTAGCTGCTCAAGTGTGAGGAACTGAATTTGGAATCCCCAGGATCCATGTAAAAGGCCAGGCAAATCAGGGTGCACACCTGTAACCTATTACTGTTGGGAAGCAGACACGGAAAGACCATCGGGGTTTGCTCACTGCCAGCCTACCTCTAGAGTAATTAAAAGATCTGGTTTTCAAGAGAACGGGGTAGAAAATGATTGATAGAGCAGGATAGCCAACATCCTCTTGTGGCCTTTATACACATGTATAAGTTCATATATCCTCCTCCATACACATGTGTGCCTTACTCACATATACCACACACACTTGCTGAAGTCTGGTCTGCTGTTCTCATGATTGCCTCTCGATGTGGCCCCTGCTCACTCCAGCTCCAATGAAGCCACAGTTCCCAACATGGCTCTCCCCTCACCCTATTCCTTCTTGGCCTCTGCATGCATTCTCTCCCTCTCATGACTCAAACCTGCATTCCTTGCTTGTCCCTTCACTATGTTAGCTTTTACTGCCAGCTCTAGCACTACCTCTGATATCCCACAGGCTCCCACTACTGGCGTCTGGACTCCAGCCGTGATGGGTGGCATAGCTGGCCCATTGCTCATCATTGGCCCCAGGGGCCTTCAACAGTAGATGCTGCCTTTTCCTGGGATGATAAAGTCTATCTCATCCAGGTGCGTTTTGGGAGCAAGGCTTAAGATGGAAACTGGGACAGGACAAGACTATACAGGTCTATGTTAATTACTCTCCTTTGTCCCCTAGGGCACTCAAGTGTATGTCTTCCTGACAAAGGGAGGCAATACCCTAGTAAGCGGTTATCCAAAGCGACTGGAGAAGGAACTTGGGAGCCCTCCTGGGATCAGCCTTGAGACTGTGGATTCAGCCTTTAGCTGCCCTGGTTCTTCCAAGCTCTATGTAACAGCAGGTGAGGAACTTTGGGTACTAAGGGGTGTCTTGTTCTGCTAATTATTCATGGCATAGATGACCAGGTGGGGATGAGAAAAGCTAAGTTGAGATTCTCGTGATATAGAAGCCATGTTAAGTTTGTTGTCTTCTTCCCAGGACGGCGGCTATGGTGGCTGGATCTGAAGTCAGGTGCTCAGGCGACATGGACAGAGCTTTCTTGGCCCCATGAGAAAATTGATGGGGCCCTGTGTTTGGAAAAGTCTCTTGGTCCCAACTCATGTTCTTCCAGTGGTCCCAGCTTGTACCTTATCCATGGGCCCAATTTGTACTGCTACAGCAGTATAGACAAACTGAATGCTGCCAAGACGGTTTCTAAGCCCCAGAAAGTAAACAGCCTTCTTGGCTGCAGTCAGTAAGAAGTCCTGATGGGAATTAGCCCAGCTCAGTCCAGCCCAGCCACCTCTCCATTTTCATCCTAATAAAACCAGATGGTTTCTTCACATGAATCATGGGGTGTTGATTGTGAAACAGTCTTTTTTATTTGAATTTAAAGGTTAGCAACTTTCTTTTTAAAACACTTATTATTTCATTGTTTTTTTAAGTAGATGAAAGTGCATGGGTATGTGCACATGAGTGCAGGTGCCCACAGAGGTGAGAGGAATTGGGTCCACTGGAGCTGCAGTTACAGGCAGTTATGAGATGCCCAATGTGGGTGTGGATCCTAGTCAAGAGCGGTGTGAGCTCTTAAAAGTTGAGCCGTGTCTCCCACTCAAGCAACTACTCTTTTGAGACTCTCAAGTTCAAACAAGGCCGTGGGAAGCAAGGGCAATACATAGATGACTTCCTCTTTTTCTTTTTTTATTAATTTATTTTTTTATATTCTAATCCCAGTTCCCCCTCCCTCCTTTCCTTTCACTCCCTCCACTCCCCACCTCCCCCATCTGCTCCACAGAGAGGGTAAGACCTCCCCTCAGAAGTCTACTAAGTCTGTTCTGTCATCTAATTGAGGCAGGACCAAGGCACCTCTCTATCCCCACACCTGTGTCTAGGCTGGGCAAGGTATCTCTCCATGTAGAATGGGCTCCACTAAGTCAGTTTGTGCATTAGTGTCAGATCTTGGACCCACTGCCAGTGGCCTCATATATTGTCCCAGTCGCACCATTGTCACCTATATTAAGGGAGGCTAGTTCAATCTTATGCACGTTCCCCATTTGTCAGACCTGAATCAGTGATCTCTCACTAGCTTGGGTCAGCTGATTCTGTGTATTTCCCCGTCATGGTCTTGACTCCTTTGTTCATATTTTTGCTCCTCCCTCACTTCAATTGTACTCCAGGAGCTTAGCCCATTGGTTAGTTGTGGATTTCTGCTTCCACGTAGATGATTTTCTAATCGAAACCACAGGCCTTTTCTTGTTTGCTTTTCCTTTTATTTCTTCTGATTCCCCTGACCCTCCTCCTCTCCCCTTCCTTTCTATCTTCTTCTTTGGTCTCATGTAGCTTAGGCTGGCTTCAAACTCCCCATCTAGCCAAGGATGTCCTTGAACTTCTCTAATCCTTCTGTCTTGACCTTTCCAGTGCTAGGGTTACAGGCATGCACCACCATGCCAAGTTTATCCTGGAGATCAAACCCAGTACTTTGTGACTGCTAAACAAGCACTCTACCAACTGAGACACCTTCCTAGCTCAGAACATGATTTATCCCAGTCTGTCTACACATAGTGGGAAAAACAGACCAGTGTAGGAAGAGAAACTGTTGAGTGTGCACAGCATGTGAGAGCTAAGACTCTGACCTAACCTGACCATAACTGGCCCAGGGCATCAAGAGCCCCAGGGCTTGTGTCAGCTATGCTATTCAAAGTGGGTTGGCTTGGAGTTGCTGTGGAATGTCTTCTGTGGGTGGGTAGGAGGCTCCAACTGTAGTTCTGAGTGGTTTGGGTAGAAATCAGCAGTCAAGATGTTATTGCCTTGAGTTAAGCACAAGTGGAGTGAAGGCTAAGTGGGAAAACAAGAGCACAGTGGCAGGTTGGAGATGGATGGAATGATTCTGAAAGACGGAGCAGTGGTGTGCATGTACAGAACCAGTCTCTGGGGGATTGATGCTTCTGGGGCCTGGAGCCTTATGTAGTCTGCTGGTAGGGGTGGTCTGGCCTCCCTTTTGCCCTCCATGGTGTTTGCACCCTAGAGACCAGCAGATGCCTCCTGTATAGAAGTTACAATGCTTGCTTGTTTTCTGCTCAGAAGCAAAGCAAACCTTTAGACTCCATTACAATCACCCATTTAGAGAGTTGTAACAAGTGAACCTCAGCTGAGATTCTCTTTCCCTTCCAAAGCTAGCTGAGACTGGAGGCTGGTTTGTTTTAGAGCCTAAAATTTAGGCTCAAAAATAGCCTGAAAATCTATCTGTGTGGGTGAGGGGTATTTGTTTTTATTTACTTTTTGCATTTGAGTGTTTTCCCTGCATGTATGTTGGTGTACTGTGTGCATACTTAGTTCTGTTGGAGGCCAAAAGAAGCCATCTATTCTCTGGGACCAAAGTTACTAGACAGTTATGAACTGCCATGTGGATGCTGAGAATTGAACCTGGGTCTCTGGAAGAGAAACTAGTACTCCTAATTGCTGAGCCATCTCTCTAGCCCCAAACTGGAGGTGTTTCTCTGATTATCTATATCATATTCTCTATGACTTCTTCAAAATAGATACAGTATTGCCTGTGATCCCCATTACTGGAGAGACTGGGTAACAGGAGTGTCACAGAGCCAGTGATTGCTGCCTGGGCTACAGAATGAGTTTAAGGCCAGTTTGGGCAACATAACAAGACCTTTTTCTAAATAAAATGTAAAAAGAGAGTTGGTGATATAACTCTGTAATGAGCATTCTTCCCACCAGCCTGGTCCCAGAGCTGAATCAACCCCAAATAACACACAGAGACTCTATTAGTTACAATGTTGTTGGTCAATGTCCAGGGCTTCTCATTGGCTAGTTCTGTCTCAAGTATTAACCCATGACTACTAATATATATATATATTTTTTTAAATAAGGTCTTATCTTACTGAGGATGCCAGCCTCATGTGTCCTCTCTTCCTGGGATTATATGGTGACTCTCCACTCTTGACTACATTTCCCAGAATCCTCCTCAACTCCTGGTCCCACCTATCTTGCTTCCCTATTGGCCAATGGTGCTTTATTTATGAATCAATAAGATAAACGTATACACAGAAAGACTTCCCCCATCATAACTCTGTCTTAAGGTTTTCATTGCTGTGAAGAGACACCATGATCATGGCAACTCTTATAAAGAAAACATTTAATTGGGATGGTTCGCTTATAATTTCAGAGGTTTAATCAGATGGTTTGCTTATAGTTTCAGAGGTTTAATCCATTATCATCATGACAGGGAGCATGGTGACATGCAGCCAGACAGGATGTTGTAGCTGTAGCCGAGGCAACAGGGAGTTGACTAAAACTCATTCTGAGGGAAGTCTGAACAAAAAGAGACCTCAAAGCCCACCCCCACAGTGACACACTTCCTCCAGCAAGTCTACACCTACTTCAGCAGGCAACACCTCCTAATAGTGCTGCTCCCTATGAGATTATGGGGGCCAATTACATTCAAACTACCACACACTCAGTGGTAGAATGCTAGCCTACAATGTATGTAGTTTTTAAGGTGTGTATGTGGACATGTGTATAGGTGCATGTGCATGATTCCTCCTAGACCACTCCTCCTGCTTCCCAGTGAAGCAGGTTCTCTCAGTCAAACCCAGTGCTCACTGCTAATGGTTAGTCTTGCTCTCTTGTGGCTAAAATTCCAGGAGGCTTCTCAGCCCACCTGGCATCTCCCCATTCAGCATTTGCATGGGCATCTGGTGATACCAACTCAGGTTTTCATGTTTGTGGAGCAAGCTCTTTAACCCATGCCATCTCTCCAGACTCATGCCACCATTTTTATTACCATCATCTATCACCCTCCTGATTGTGTCCACTAAGTTGCAAAAAGTTTTGTACACAAATGAATCATTCCCCTACTTCAACTACCCCATGGCCAAACTGTTGCTCTTTATTACTCATAGCTGTTTCACCTGTGAAGAAATTCCTTCAGTTCCAGCATCCAAGGTGTCTTAGGGCTTTGTTGCTGTCAAGAGACACCAGCAACTCTTATAAAGGAAAAGATTTTAAAATTTTTATTATTTAATCCATTTTTCCAGCTCTATTACAGTTTCCCCTCCCTCCCCCTTCTCCTCCCAGTCCCTCTCCCCAACTTCCCCTCTTCCCACATACCCCAATCCACTCTTCTTCCTTTCTCTTCAAAAAAGGGAAGGCCGTCCATGAATATTGGTCAGCCATGGCATATCAAATTGCAGTGAGACTAGGCACCTCCTTTCCTATTGAGGCTGGATGAGGTAACCCAGTAGGATGAAAGGGTCCCAGAAGCAGATAATAGAGTCAGAGACAGCCCCTTCTCCCTCTGTTAGGAGTACCACAAGGAGACTAAGCTACACAATTGTAACATATGTGCAGAGTGTCTAGTTCCATGCAAGCTCTCAGGTTGGTGTTGATGGTCCAACCTGAGAGTCTCTATGAGCCCCTGTGAACCTGAGTTAGTTGTTCCCCAACTCCCAAGTGTGTGTGTGTGTGTGTGTGTGTGTGTGTGTGTGTCCTGGCCCTTTTGGCTCTCATGTGGATGCTGAGAATTGAACCTGGGTCCCCTGGAAGTATTACTAATTTCTTTATTTCTAAAAGAATTAGTCAGGACTGGCTTACAGTTTCAGAATTTAGTCCATTGTTGTCATGGTGGGAAGCATGGCTGTGGGCAGGCAGACTTGGTGCTGGAGGAGCTGAGAGTTCTACATCTTGAGCCACAGGTATCAGGAGGAGACTGTACCACACTGGGCATAGCTTGAGCATATAAGACCTTAAAGCCTGCCTCCACAGTGATACACTTCCTCCAACAAGGCCACACCCCCTATAGTGCCACTCCCTATGAGTCTATGTGGGTCATTCCTATTGAAACCATCACATCATGTATGAGAATAACCTACCTTTTTCCCTTTTCCACACGTACCCCATTCCCACCCAGGCTTCTGCTTTTTTACTTTTTCACTGTCTTCTACTCCGAAAGCCATATTTTTCCTCCAAGTGTGAACACCAGGATTGATCTTTGAACTGTTTCATAACAATACTTTTATGTCTCTGCCTTACTGTCATTTTTATCTATAAAAACAGAAGGAAGTAACAAAATCTAGCTAGAGGTCAGAGAAAGAGAATGTTGGAGTTTGACATGCTTGACTTCAAACTCCAGCTAAGCTTCTTAACTCTCTTTGGGGAACTTAGCCTCTCTGAGTTGTTTTGTGTTTGTTTAGCTTTTGGAGATAGACTCTTATATAGTTCAGGCTGGCCTTACACTCTTTTTGCAGCCGAGGGTAACTTTGAACTCCATTTTCTCCTGCTTCTACCTCCCCAAGTGCTGGGGATTACAGGCATGTGCCACCACACCACCACTGACATT